TTCTTTATTTAGTTTTATGTCTCAAATGAAAAAAAATCCGATATTTAGATTTCCAATATTTTTATTGGTTGAATTAATTTTTATCTTATTTCACTAGTTAAAAAAAACAAAACAAGGTAAACATAAAACGCCCTAATCTGGACTTATAGGAAATGACCAAAACAAAATCCATTGAACGGCCCTACTGTTAGAGATCTCAGTAATTTATTGGTAGACATATTGTCCACACCTGCCGTAAGCTTCAAATTTCTTCCCTGGAAAGTAGATGATGTAAAGAATAGTACATTTCTCAAGACAGAAGCCAGTCTGATGTTTTCCAAATGTGGCGGGAATCTAATCCGCGAATCAGGCGACCACTGTACCCCTAAACCACAGAGACGTACACTTAAGCTATAGGCATGGCGAGATGGGCCTCGAACTCTCTACCCCCCCCCCCCCTNTATTTCACTAGTTTAAAAAAAAAACAAGGTAAACATAAAACGCCCTAATCTGGACTTATAGGAAATGACCAAAACAAAATCCATTGAACGGCCCTACTGTTAGAGATCTCAGTAATCTATTGGTAGACATATTGTCCATAGCTGCCGTAAGCTTAAAATTTCTTCCCTGGAAAGTAGATGATGTAAAGAATAGTACATTTCTCAAGACAGAAGCCAGTCTGATGTTTTCCAAATGTGTCGGGAATCTAATCCGCGAAGCAGGCGACCACTGTACCCCTAAACCACAGAGACGTACACTTAAGCTATAGGCATGGCGAGATGGGCCTCGAACTCTCTACCCCCCCCTCGACCCACCACCCAATAAAACCACCCTAGCAGTCGTGCACTTTTCTACAAGTGTGTGCAAACATTTCCTTTATTTTGAATAAGTTACACATACAAATTTCATGAAAAGTAACAATCTGCAGATTCGTTTAAATTACACTTCTCGTTCCCATGGCCTGCTACTTACAGATGCTTGTGATGAGTTTAATTACAGACGCGTACGCTCTCTAAAAATTGTATGTATATTTTCTTTAATTAGACTGAAGAAATTAACATTACATTGTACAATACAATACAATACAAATCACTTCTCACATACACATTTCTCAAAAACATACGCATACTGTACATACATACCTGTATGCGTGCTACGTGTAACTACAGTATAAAATAAATACATATAAAGACAAGCAAAGCATTATTTTTTAGTTCAGAAAACATTCGATGTCCCTGTATTACGGATGCCCTCCATATTTTGATTTTCTGTAAATGTATTCTTTTACCTGAAAAATAAGTAGATTTATTTTCTTATCATCATTTCCGAGAATAATATCCGATGCGTAAATCTGAACATTAGCTCCCTCTCCTTCACTTTTAATCCAGTTTTCGAGTTGTTTCCGCATGTTTTAAACAGCATCAAATTTAGTTAACGATATGTATATTATCTTTTATTTTGAAGAATTATACGTATCGGACTTTACTTGATTTCGACTGACGTGAAGGTCACTACATTGTATATAAAATTTAGTTTTGGGGTAATTAAAAAAGATAAATGGAATCATGTGGAAATTACCACAAGGAAAGGCGTGGTCTCGTGTAAAATCATGAATAAATAGAACAGTGAGTTTCCAGGCGGGAGCTTCAAGATAATTATAATTTATTCACATTGCTTGAGACGTTACGACATTTAACGAGCGTGATTGATATCAATTTGTAACTATCGCGATGGGCGTCAACTTATCAATATTTTAAGCCAACGATACGCGCACAATTATTGTGTAACGCTTCTCTCTGACCATAATGTGCGATAGAAGTCTGTTACAAAATTGTTGAAAGGGACTGTATACTATTGTATACTATTTTAGAGACCCTGATATCACAGGGCGGGTTAACGTTAATATACAATGTAGTAAAACGTAGAATTCTGACGTAAGAGGATACCTAAAATGGGAGTACGATAAAAGTGAAGCAATAAATTCAATTTTTTCCATCATCATTCCAGGGCTTGTATCTCGTCTGAAATCAATTCAGTCTTTCCTTACACCAGAGGTGTATTGTGGCCCTGGTCTGTCACATGAAGATACTACTTACTAGGCCAGTGCTTTCATAAAGCTCCCTTTACACTGGATGCATGGCGTCCTTTCTGCATCCTGTGGTATGGCCCCGTTTGAGAGTAAAATAAAACTATATTTTATGTGCCGACAACTGGCCGACCACTAAGCATTCAACCAAAGCGATACTTGTGCCTCCCTTCTACGACCACAGCTATGCCAGTTTCGTGGTCGCGCAAAAGGACGCCGTCCAGTGTAACGGGGGCTTAAACTATAGCTAAGCTAATTAACCCAGAAAACGAACAAAATGTGTTACGTGAGATTTAGGTAGAGCAACCAGATATGTTAGAATTTGTTTTTTCACCAATTTATTCAGACGTTGCATGGAACGTGAGAAAACTATGTTGTGCATTTGTTGGTAAAACTGAAGTTGTAGTAAACTGATTATACATTATATATAACGAATGCTTTATAAAAAGTAATGTATAAAAAACTTCTTAATTCAACTAGAAATTATATGAAATCCGTTTGAATCATTAAGGGTTCAGTACCCCCCTCCCCCATGAATAGATAAATATAATTAATTAGTTAATTCTTTAAAACATCCACACAAGCTTAAAATGTAATTTATAGAATATTATGCTGCCATACAATGTACACATTCTAGTTAAATTAAACCAATAATCCATATTTCAAACAAAATTACATCTTCAGCTTTAAATAAATTTTTTATTAACATCCACGTAAATTTAAAACTGTAATTATAGAACGTTACACAGTGATACAAAGTTTTATCATATCAAACAAATTCAATATGGTGTAGACAACTTAAGCCTCACAAATACAATAATTTCATTTAAAAAACCATTATATTGGAAATTAAGTCACTTGGTTGTCTCAGTTAGTGGGTCAAAGTTTAAACAGACAATACAGCCCCACACGTTTTGATATTTAATTTTGAAAGTAAAGGCTAATAGTCTGAATGACTGGTGCTATATTTTGGCCAAATTGCTCAAAATGTGGAAAAAGCATGAAACTTGGCACAAATGTTCTTTGGTCTATGCTGATCATTTTCAAGGGCAGTGCCCAAAATTTCAAAGCGTTGCTTAGCAACTGTTGCTATGGAAGTGAATTTCCTTAGTAACAAGCTAATTAGACCTTTCTTGTCCAGTTTAAATGGTTTAGAAATGCTAATAACTATGTGTCAGGGCATCAGAACTATCACTAGACTATTTTAAGGCAATTAAAACCCAAATTAACCTCAGCCATGATTACTAGGCAGCATATTACCTTAGCAACAAGCATTTAAAGTTGCGTTAGTCTATTAAGTAAGGCAAACCTATAATACTAGCTAAGAACTACACTTTTGAGCAAGATGTTCATACTTTTAATCCAGTAAGTTGAACCAATTGTGTGTTAACACACATCCGATCAAATAAATTGCCAGTGCAGATACTTAAGGCAGCATGTTCAAAATTAGTAACCAGCCATTTCCATGCTTTTATCGCCTTACGACTCTTTATAAAACTTTGCAATAGTTAATAATAATAATAATAATAATAATAATAAGAATAAAAGTTAATTCTCCCTTGTATGTGCAATATACAGTGCATTTTGCCCTTGCACACTGTCAGCCTCTACATCTGCACCTACATGCACACTGGAACAACTCTGGACAGGTCAATAGCTTCTGGCAAATGTGCCCACATAGGCCCACTGTTCCGCACAAGTCCAACCAGAGTGAGCACATGGTATCTGATGACATGGCACCGTAGTGCTGATTCAGATATGTTCATCTCGCAAGAATACTCTTATATTGTTGTAGAGCAGCCTTGGTGGAAGTAAGATATGGCATCTAACGGCCTTTGGCTGTGAACAGAAACTTTTGAACTTCATTGATTAACAAATGGAATTAAAATAAAACCATGCAGGTGTATTTAAGATACTTGGTAGAGAATAGAAACTGACAAAATACAATTTGAAAAAAACTTTTTAGAAAATATTGAACAAAATGAAAAATATCTTGGAAATCTGGTCTCTGAGAAACCTTTCAATAATAGGAAAGTCAACTGTGGTTAAACCTTTAGTATTTCTCATCTTACGTAGGGCATGTATAAACTCTCCTACCAGCCCCCCCCTCCCTCAATACTTAAAATATGCATATCATATTTAACTTTATCAGGAATGGAAAAATATACAAAATAAAATGAGCAAGGATGGCGTCTGATTACAAAAATGGACGGTAAAAGATACCGCAAATAAAATTTTTACCAAGGCCCTAAACTTTACATGGCTTAAAATACTTCTTTATGAAGAAAATAAGAGTAAGTGGAGAGCGTTTTTCTCGGCGAAATGTCAGGAATCGGTAGTAACAAAAGGTGGATTAAAAATACTAAAAGCAACTTCTTATCCCTTTTGGCAAAGATTATTGGTTCTTTGAGTGAAATTCAGGAAAATTTCAATTTAACCCTAGATGAAATCTTATCACAACCATTATGTCAAAACTCAAAAATTGAAAGAAATTAAAAAAATATTTTCCATAAAAGAAGGTGTAAAAATGTTTTTGTTTTTTTACATCAATGATATTATAAATGACATTTGAAATCCCCTCTGTCTAGAGGAACTCAACAAAAAATCAACCTTAACACTAACTTTCTGGGCTAATTCAGCATGTTAAATACTTGTTACTAGGGTAATATGCTGTCTAGCAACTGTTGCAATGGTTTACTTGGGTTTTTAATGTCTTAAAATAGTATAGTGATAGTTCTGATGGTTTGAAACATTATTAAAAGCCTTTTTAAATCATTTAAACTGAACAAGAAAGGTCAGATTAGCTTGTTACTAAGGTAAATCACCTCCTTAGCAACGGTTGCTAAGCAACGCTTTGAAATTGTGGGCACTGCCCTTGAAAATGATCAGCATAGTCCAAAGAACATTTGTGCCAAGTTTCATGCTTTTTCCACCTTTTGAGCAATTTTTGCACCAGTCATCCAGAATATAAGAACAAAAGCAAGTTTTACACCAGTTTCATGTGAAAACACATGAATCATCCAATGAGACTATCATAAGAGTTAAAAAAAAAAGAATGAAAAATATTAATTCTAAATATCAGTGTTGCCTGATATAAAACTGATTTAACACCAGAAAGCTATGTGGCTTGATGTGCTACACTCTAATTATTTTTAAGACACTTGAGAAGAAAAATATGTCTCAGACCTTATTCCCATACCTAGATCGATCTAGGATGCAATTTAGTGAGAATTCCCTCAGAGATGGGTCAATCCTGTCAGATCAATCTTGGTACGGAAACAGGTCTAAGTAAATCTACTGGTCAAGATTTGTATATGATGAACTGAACCAGATTTGTCCTTGCCGTCATACTGATAGGAATGTGGGCTCCCAGGCTGCTTTTCTATTGATGAATCTGGAAAAAATTCACAATATTCCTTCTGAAGATATCCATTGCTGGAATTGATCAATATGTCTTCAAATAAACACATGATTACATTGTAAAAGAATATGTTAAATACCCAACTGCAGGAATCATTTTAGTAAGCAAAACATGACGCTTTTTTATATTGTTCACTATGAAGATGATGGGACTGTTGCCGTTATAGGTCTTTAATTGTTTTGATAAAAATAAATAAAACCACAGGGAGCAGTTTTACCTCAGCTGTCAGCTGTGGTACCATATGGTCTGGAGTTTGTCTGTTACCCTGATCTCCATGACAACAGGTCCAGATGATCAACGATGGCGCCCAGAGTCTCAGTAACCACCCAAAATTTCTGGTCCTTGCTCACTTCTTCCACAAGAAATGTGCCAAAATTCTGAAGTGAAAAATGAACTAAACAACAAATCTGACATCAATCGTAGGTTTGCAGGAACTCTTGCTGAGTGCAAACAGCTGAAGTGAATGACATGCCTCCTCTTGTTTCCAATATTCTTACATAATCAGCAGCTATTTTGTATTCTATTCAACGCCTGCAGAGGCGCTTCAGTCAATTAAGCTGATTGCACTTTGCGAGAGTCTAGGCACAGAGTTGGATCACTTTAAGTTGACGTATGGTGTCTGTGAGAGCCCATAGAGATCAGAATATATACACACAAATACACACATCAAACAAATATCTTCTGTGCTATATGAAACCAATTCAATGGCATCTATAGGCAAGAGAGGTGACACAAGAATTGTAAAATTCTTTGAAAAAATCAGATATTTTCACCGCAACAGGTATGGTCTGTCCATAATAGAAGTGAATTGTTGTTTTTCATTGTTCCAAATCTTTTGGTTTAGTTTGGTTTTCTGCCTAGCCATCAATACTACTTTGTCTGTATTCTTTCAATATTTTAATCTATCAACTGAACACAACCATTCATTAACACTGGCAGTTTGAGTAAACCATCATCATATTTACATAAAAATGGGTTATATAATATTGATTCATACAATATTAATTCATGTAATAGGAGAAAATATTATCTATTAGAACATCAACCTTTAGACATAGCAAATATTAAGACTGGGTTCACATACCTAGATCGATCTAACAGCTAGGATCAATAACAATTTAAAAAAGCAATAAACGATAATTAATTACCCCTAGCAGCTTCAGTAGGTGTGACAGACATCTAAGCTGCTTTAGTTGATTGCAATCTAGTAAGAATCCCCTTAGAGATAGATTGATCCACAGTTAGTACAATAGGGTCTGGGAATGGTCCCAAAGATCTCATCACTTTTCTAAAGCACATGATATGCCTGTACTGCTACATGTACATATCTGGGGTACCTTGACAATATGGTCATGACAATAAATGACATAACATGCCTGTACTGCTACATGTACCTATCTGGGGTACCTTGACAATATGGTCATGACAATAAAAAAGTTTGGGTGTTCTATAAAGAGAGGTTTAAGTGAATAAATATTAAAAATGAAGTTTTTAGACTAAGTGTTAGTTTTATCTGAGAGTGTATATGTACAATTAAAAAAGCCATACTTCTACCAAATGTGTTATGAACTAAAAATAATTGTATATCATTTAGAAATAGTGGAATCAATGATGGTAATAACTCAGAAGTTAAGTCGTTCTTTGCATCTTTTTCTTTAACTATTAAAACAACTTAAGATGTACAATGGAGTTGCCATTTTTAAGCAGGAATTCATCTAAACTAATTTAAAAGTGATAAAAAAGAGGGCAATGCTATATTGTTTTCACAAACTCATGACTCACCTGCATAAACACCTTTCCAGTGTTGACATTATCTAGGTCTCTGAACTCTGTGCTAAAGAAGATCATCACACAGCCCTTCTTTATATCCACACAATGATACCTACAGATTTTATACCAATTCTTGAATTAATCATTGTTTTCATTTAAATAAGTCATGACTTTGGGAAAATTACCCAATAATTTATTTAATATACATTTTACAAAATAAATCATCAACTTCCTTGATCAATAAATGGAATAACTATTTCACAATTTTTCTGAAAGATATCTTTTCTATACACAAATATTTAACAAGGCGGCAAAACTGTCAAATGTACAGACAAAAAGCAGAAAATAACAATGCACAAAATAGGCTACTGTCAATTCTGATGCAAAAGCACATTAGGCTTATAACTGCAAATTCAACATTTAAATTATGCTCAACAGGTAATACTGATGTAAGTAAAATGTGTAACAAGCATAAGGCTTCGGGCCGATGGGAGTTCAAGTTCACACTTTGAAAATGCCAGAATGAGAAAAATGAAAATTTCATACAAAACTGCATAAATTCAATAATAAATGATAACACAATTGAGCTGGCTTTCTAATTTGAACTGCATGCCAATCCTAAAAATCATACTTGTAAGTAAAAAAAATAATTATAAGTAACACAGTTTTCTTTTCATAATGTTTGTAGTAGCAGTGCAAAAAGATTTTTGTCAATTTTGATGTAACATTACATAATAAATAACAGAATCATTATCACCAATTTTTGATAATTGACTATAAATAGCATGGAAATGTAGAAAACTTGATTACCATTCAGCTTCATGTCCATGGGAGCTCCGAGTCCCACAATGTATATGCCAAAACGATAATAATGAATATTTCACTAAAATGTATAACTTCCAGAAAAAGAAGCCAATTAGACTGCTTTTCCAGCTCAGGCCGCATTTTAGTCCTATGTTTCTTTTTTGAAAGTTTGACAGTAATAAGTAACATGGTTTTCCCATAATGGTCATCATGGCAGCGCACCAAAAATTGTGTTTTCGTAAACAGCATAATGACCATCAATTTTTAATAATAAAATTAATGTATCATGGATTTTTCAGAAAATGTGACTAGCATGGGTCTTCAAGCCCATGGAGGTTCTAAGTCACACCTTGAAAATGCCAACATGTGAAAAATTAAATTTTCACAAAAAAACTGTTTAATTGCCGGAAAAATTTACCAAACAGACTGCATTGCCTACTGAAGCTGTATTTTAGTCCCATGTTTCTTTCCTGTAAGTTTGAGAACAGTAAGTGACATGGTTTTCCTTAAATGGTCATCATGGGAGCAGTGCCCAAAATATGGGTTTCTTCAAATTTTGATGCAACATTACATAATGTTTAACAGCATAATGACCATCAATTTTTAATAATAAAATATTAGTAACATGGACATTCAGAAAACGTGACTAGCAAAGATCTTCAGGCCCATGGAACTTCAAAGTCACACCTTGAAAATGCTAAAATGTAAACAAGACAGCACTGTTCTGACATGGGTTTATTTCCATTTTTAACACTTTTTTTAACATAAAACAAAATAAACAGTTAACTGCAATTTTTATATGATCAACTAAGAAAATTGATGAGATGAGAAAAATATCAATAAAACAGTGTTAAATGTCCAATTTCTTCCATTCTCAGATTCTGAACATAGTGGATGATTGAATCTGACAAACAGCAATAATATGAGTTTATTTCCATTTTTGACACTTTATTACACAAAACACAATAAAAAGTTTACCATAATTTTTACATAATCAACTAACAATATTGTAAAGATGCAGGAAATGTCAAACAAACACTTTTACCTATCTTATTATTTAAATAATAAGGCTATTAACTTGCCTAAGAATTGAATAAGAGGAAATGTGAAAAATGGCATAACTTCTAAAATAATGCCCCGATTATGCTGATTTTCGGACTCAACCCGCGTTTTAGTAAGATTGACCACTCCTGTGTGTTTAATGACAATTGGCCTATCTGTTTTCCTTATAATGTGTTTACAGTGTTGCATATATGCTGAAAAATGAACAAGGCAGCAAAGCTGTCAAATGTACAGACAAAAAGCTGAAAATAGTATACTGTGATGCACTTATGTATTATGCTTAATTGTATAGCCAACATCAAATTTTAATTCTGCGCAACAGTGGATTAGGATGGAAGTAAAATGTGTAACAAGCATTAGACTGCGTTCCCATACCTAGATCAATCTACAAGGATCAATCCAACTCGAAGGGGTTTCTCACTAAATTGTATTCAGCTTAAGCAGCTTAGGATTCTGGCGTGCCAGTTTCAGTAGAACAGCTAAGCCACTTACATTGATTGCAATTTAGCGAGAATTCCCTTGGAGATAGATCAACCCACAGTTAGCATAATAGGGTCTGAAAATAGTCCCTAAGGCTTCAGGCTGATAAGAGTTTAAGTTCATACTTTGGAAATGCCAAAATGAGAATAAGTGAAAATTTCACAAAAAAATTGCTTAAACTCAATAAAAAAAATAATAATAACAATTATATATATATATATATATATATATATATATATAATTTAATAGAGCTGTTTTTCTAATTTGGGCTGTATGTCAATCCTAAGAATCATTCTTATGAGTTAAAAAATACAGAAAATGTTACAAAGTAACAGTACAGGGCTCTAGATCGGTGAATGGTAATGATAAGTCACATCTTGAAAATACCACTTTGAAAAATGAAAAATTAAAAAAACTAGGAAAAATAACAAAAATATTCCATTAACTAGGAAAATTGATGATAGGAAAAATATCAATAGAACAGTGTTAAATGTCCAATTTCCTCCATTCTGAGATTCTGAACATAGTGAATGATTGAATTTGACAAACTGCAATAATATGAGTTTATTTCCATTTTTGAAACTTTATTACACAATACACGATATTAAGTTTACCATTATTTTTACATAATCAACTAACAATGTTGTAAAGATGCAGGAAACATCAAACAAACACTTTTACCTAACTTATTGGTTAAATAATAAGGCTATTTACTTGCCTAAGAATTGAATCTGAGGAAATGTGAAAAAACAGCATAACTTCTAAAATAATGGCATGATTATGCTGATTTTCGAACTCAACCTTGATTTTAGTAAGATTGACCAATCCTGTGAGTTTAATGATAACAGGCCCATCGGTTTTCCTTGAAATGTGTTTACAGTGTTGCATATATGCTGAAAAGTGAAAAAAAACAGCATAACTTCTACACAAGTGGCCTGATCATGCTGATTTTTTAACTTGACCTGCGTATTATGTATATTCGTCAGTTCTGTAAGTTTCAAGCCAAAAAATAAAGTGGTTTATAAGGCTTCAGGCCCATGAGAGTTCAAGTTCACACTTAGAAAATGCCAGTATGAGAAAAATGAAAACTTCACAAAAAAATTGTATAAATTCAATAAATCAAGATAGATATTTAGAAAATGTGACAAGCAAAGGTCTTCAGGCATATAAAGTAACTCCTTTAATATGTGGAAAATGAAATATTTCACAAGAAATGCCTATCTTTAACAAAAATAACGTGATGAAACTGACTTTTGATGTTGTCCGGTATTTTATGAATATTCACCGTTTTTTGCAAGCTTAAAGACAAAAGGTAAAACAGTTTCCCACTTAACATGTTATCAATGAAAGTGCTGAATGATGATGATATGGACAGATGTAGGTGACACACGTTTTATTCACTTACGATACTACATAAACAATGAGACAAACAAAAGACCTGAAACTTCTTACAAAACTCTTAAGAAGGAAAGAAATCAACAATTTTTGCACCAATTTAAGACATTGGTCTAACCCACAGATGAAGATGATGATCTTTACTGTATTGTTAAAAAAATCATGCTGGAAATTAGAAAACATGTTTACACTAAACTTCCAACAGAACAATTTTAACAAGCTATGTGCCATCAATTCTTTAATTTTAAATGTTTTAAACAGAAAACATATTTTCTTCATGGGCCTATTATATCCAAATTGTGACACATTTTTATAACACTCTTTAACTGACTAGAAAATAAATAAACAACTATTTGCACCAATTAAATACCTTAGTTTAACACAGATGTAGCTGGCCATCTTTACTGTATTATTAAGAATTTATACTGGAAATCTTAATGAAGTTACTTTATTGAATGTAAAATTACAAAATAGCACTAAATAAAGATTCTATTAATAAAAAAATCTACTCATATTCAGTCTCCAAACTGGCTAAAACTTACCCTATTTTACAACTGCAATACATCAAATTGTTCATAACTTGATGCATGAAATTAGTAGCACTAGTACTGATCTTGAAATTTAACATGTTTACACAAACCTTCTGAACAGAACTATTTTAAACTATGTGCCATCAAATTCTTTATGTTTAGAGACGTTAAATACACTAGTTTATTTCTTCATAGTCCATTTAATTTCCAAACTGTGATGGCATTGCTGGTTTACTCTATTACTGATGAGGAGCATGAGGAATTAGGGTAGGTCAGGATGATACATGTAAATATAAGTACATGTATGTACCGTACTAACTTTTATATGGTATCAAATAACAATTTAGCTATGCTTTTCTCCATCTTCATGTCATCCAATAAGTTAGTTGTGAAAAGACACATTTCTTCTTGAACAACTACTCTCTCTGATACGATGAAAATGTCCTTGCCTTCATCATCTATCTAAAATATGACAGTTATAAATATATATATTTTGCAATATAATATGTATCATTTCATAAAAGTGAACAAAAGTGCAATAATAGGAGAAAATGTATGACTAATAGTAATTTAGAAAACTAGACAGCAAAGCTGACAAATACACAGACACCATACAGGAAACAAACCAGCAAAACTGACAAATGTTGAAACATGACAGCAAAAAGAGCACCAAATAATGTTAAGGTTTACTTTGATGTTTTGTTACTTAATCATTTTACCATCTTACTTTTTTTACATTGGACATTAAAGTAGCAAGTGATCCAGTTTTATGGGATATGTAAGCCACTAAAAATGTTAATGTGTGAAAAAAATGATATAAAAATAATATCCACTGTAAATGTTAACTGATCATGGTGATTTTAGCAAGCAACCTGTTTCTTTACCAAACAAATCTACTTATTAAATTGATAGTAAAACAAAAATATGGTTTGGCAGGTGTGTGGCAAAGAAAACCAAATTTGTGCAAAAATAAAAATAAATAAAAAAAGAATAAGTACTATGATAGTTTTGTTTTTAAAATTTAGGATGATAAAAAAGAAACTTACCATTAGGAAATTTCAGTTTCAGTTGGGAAGTAGAGTTCTGTAGATTAAAAAAAAAGCAACAATCAGATGCATGAAGGGCTTATGAACATTTAATTATTACATACATACTGAGAAAGCATTGTACTATACTCCAAAAGGAACAGTAGAGTAATTGATGTAATTTACTTTGTATATAAATATATAACTTATTTTGATAATAGTTTTGAAACTGTAATAATTGGATAAAATGGAAACATGTCCCATCTTTACCTGCTTTGACGATCTTGTCCTCACTAATTGAGGCATAATGTATTGCCATGGGCAATTCACTTGTTATACCCTCCGCGCTTGTTATTAAGAAGAGTCCCTCAGCAATTTATTTACTCATTGCTGTTTCCCCCTCTAACTCTTCAGTTAGAAAGAGGAAATCCCCTTCGTCAGAGGAGGAAACAGCAATCAGAGTCAACTGTTTCTCCACATCCATGCTTGATTGTATCTGAAATGAACAAAGAAGACATACCTTAAAAAATGTATTCATTAGTTATTATATAAAACATTTCATTGTAGTGAAATTACAGGTCTAAGGACAGTGTTGACCTGGGTACAACATATGTATTCTTGCTTGTTGGGATGAAATTATGCATGTATGGTTTATATTCAAGTTTTAAGTATGGAAGCACAGTTTTAAAAAGGAAAAGACATGGATAAATGAAAACAATGAGATGTGTCTGATAATTTTGGCATCATGTATGTTGGCATTAACACTGACAGTTTCTAAATTGCATGAAAATATTAATGATGAGAACAATATAAGTTGCACAGAGAGCAATTTTTTGTGTGAAATGAACTGAATTTTGTGAGTTGACCTAGATATCCCGATGTGACAAGCATATCAGTATCTGTGTCAACTCAAGTCGCATCTATTTTTGATTTCAAACTAACACAAAATATCATTTTTGCAGCGTAACAAGCATCAGATGAATTTAGAAGTGGTATTCTAATTGAAACAAGCTTTAAAATGTTACATAAATAGGTAATTATTGTTGATTCCATTCATTTTTTTTTTTTTTTTTTTTTGATTCCGCTAAATAGTAGGACCCCAAAATAAATAGTGTTTTTAACAGGAGCATAACTTATACTTATGTATCTCACCCAAACTCAATATAGAACTGCAATTTACAGGCTTATTATCCAAAATTAAAATGGAATGGATTTAGAGTGATATTCATTTTTTAAACGTATATAGAACAACAATATTTGACTAGAGCCTATATCAATTTTAAGGTAGATCGGTCGTTACATAATTTGACGACTTGTGCAATTTCAGCGCATCGTCAATCATTTCTAACGACATTTCAGTCTGTTTTATCAATTTATGGAAATAAAACAATTATCTAAAAGATAAACAAACATTATCAACTTGTCTTTAACTCAGTACGATCGATATAGGTTTTCGACAACATTTGCCGACAATGATTCTATACAACAACTGTAGAGCATTTATAGACTTGGCCTTCAAGAAATCGAAATAGATCATTTTCAAATTTGAATGGGCACTGTAGAAGTACGACAGCTAAAGCCAACAAATTCTGTACGTAGGTTCTACATTATGTAAAGAATAAGTCTTGTAAATTACAATCAAAGCGGTTGCATATATTCTCAGGTAGAACGTTCGACGAAAATCGAAGTGCATCGTGACGTCACTTACTTGTACTTGGAAAGCTTTAAATGATTTTCCCATGAGAAATATTTCGTAGTGTCTTCAAATGATCAGAGAATAACCATACAGCTTGAAGAAAATTCACTAATCAAAATTGAAACTGCGTAATATTATTCATAAAATTATGCATTTCTGACCTCGACTTGGCATTGTAAACATAGATGGTGTAAACAAAGTGTACTAAAGGCATTGCAAGCAAGCATGGAATGTTGCGTTTGATACTTTGTATCAGACGCTTCATTTTACTTGACAACACAGTGTTTACGATGTCACATTCATGTTATATTCATTACATGAATAAATAACAACGTCAATAAACTATTTTCTCATGCATGACGTATTTCCCTCTTTAATAAATCTGTTGTAAATTTAATGGCTTACACCTTTGCATCAGTATGACAAATCTGAAAATAGCTGGTATACTCACTTCAACTGTTAAACATATTGACAGATTATATGTACATGGATGTCTCTCTACGCAAACCAAAAAATAAAAAGATAAAAAATTCGAACGTTAGAAAATGATAAAAACTTTTTTAGTGAAAAAAAAACCATTTTCCCATTGGTTTGAATGGGGACTAGTGCGTCACGCAGGGTGTAATGCACTTCAACTTAGCGTAGTTCTCTTATTTGGCCGGTGACCATAATTTTTTTCTACTAAATTTAAATGTACTTGGATGCCTCTTTACATAAAAAAAAATTGAAAAATTCGAACGTTAGAACATGTAACAACCGATCTACCTTACTTTCAATTTTAATTTTTACCATGTCTTTACCACAGCACAAAAACAAATCTTTCCCATTTTTCAGCCTCCGCGGAATGACGTCGGAACAGTGCAAGCTGGCCTTTACAACGCGCGACTGAATGACGTTTTTCCGCGCAGGAGTACCCCTTTCTCTTTTACACGGCCTTTCAACAGGCGTAATCTCGTTCGTCTTTCTTCGTGACTGAACAACGTTTTTCCGCAGGGGTCCTGCCTTAGTATTATGTGACGGTCGTTATTGGATTTTGACTGACATTTAAGAACATGAGATTCCAATAGAACTGAAAGATTTATATTGTTAATTCTTTTGAAAATTTCATTTTATTATCTTAGGTGCGCTACATGTATATACTGTCGAAAGGCGTGATCATCCCGATTATAAGAACATCTCTCCTGAGGAAGCTTCCCCCGAGGGCTTATCATATTTTGTTATTCATCATTTCTCTTTGCTGATTTATCCCTAAAAGTTGTATTTGATCTATCAAATCCAGTCCAATTCACAGTCGTCTCAAAAACCATTTTAAATTAATACAGATTGCTTGGAAGCGATATCAAAGTCTATATTTAAAGCATGGTCATTATTTCCATAAAATTGCAATGAATTATAATGAATAAGACTTGGTCAAAGGCCATGCTGTTTGATTATTAAAAGTTTGGCCGCGGCCTTGAATAATGCAACTCTGGTTGCAGCAATGCAAGTCAATTAGCGGACACATAACTGACTAGCATTTAACTTGTCGCTTGTACTATAGAAATTGTTAATCACACTTGCACTTACAATCTGGGTTTTATAGGATACGTTTTAAGGTGTCTGCGGAGTAAAAATCATTTCACTGAAATCATAATACACAGTCAGTGTATTTTTAATTTTTATTTTTTCAATTAATAAGGTGTATTAATAAAGATTCCTTTGACGATCGCGATTTAGACAGCGGCAGTTTATATAGATCTTAAGTCTATTACACTGATGGACAAGATGTAGTGCTTATGCATTGAATCAGCGTGTGTAGTGGTGCAACCAATCTTTAATTAATAAGGGAAGAACCAGCGGGTGACCGTTAAACGTTCTAATATTTAATCAACACTGAGCGGAGAACAAACAAAAAAGGATAAAGATGTGTCACTCTATGCGCTGGTGGCCGGGGAAGTTTTAACAAAGCCCGACTAACAACAATGTACTTCACGGTCACCTTCAATATTTCATCCAGCTAAAAGACGAAAACGAAAAAACTGTAATACCAATGTTGACTGGAGATGAATGAGAACATTTTTTTTTTATTTGTTGAATAAGTATTGCCCCACAACTGATCGTAGTACATCCCGCGATAAGATTTCGCTCAATAGACCGTGTCTAGAACCATTAGTAAACCATTAATTCTAAACTAGCTGTCATAAAAAACCTTGCTTGAAAAACTGAATAACTATAAGACCATTGTTATTTTGCAAGGTTAAGCAGCGATAAATATGTTGATATATAGCAAACATTATTAGTATGATGTGCCGTAATACGTATATAACAGGAGTACTTTTCTATTGATGATGATATCTTGCTCACAGTGGGTGACGAAGAGAAGGGGGTGGTTAAACCACGTAAGTGAAGAACCACTGCACATTAAACGTGCATCATGTGTCACTTTTACACGGTTTCTGATAATGAAAATGTATCATATCGCAATATACTGATTTCTCCATAGAAATTCATTTTTCACATGAAAATAAGTAAATCGCCGCAAGTCAAAAACGGCTATTTTGTTTATAAGTTCTGGGCTTTGACAGAGAAGGACAGGCCTGCTTTAGATGACAGCCGGATTCGGTTGTATTTGTATGGGGATTGCTACCAGTAATAAACACAGTTTTCACATGCAGTACCATTGAAACAAGATGGTCGAAAGATGACTCATGAGCTGAGGTCAGTATAACAAGCAGCATGGTGGCCAATAAGCTACTTAATCTTTTATGTAACCTCTCTCCAACCGCGGTGATGAAGGCTTAAACCAAGTGTTTTGGTTTCTCACTTCTTTGTTTAAGCACAGTCCCCCCCTTTTTTTCAGGACTCTGCAGCTGATGAAGGTCACTTGTTGACCGAAAAGCGCTTTCTGCAACCAGTCCAACCCCCCCCTTTTTTTCGTTTCCCCCGCCGCACTGTGCGTATCTCGTACAGTCGGCCCTTCAGATCAAACACATACAGAGGCGAGACACCTCTCTCACATCATACCGAAGTGAAACAACAGCCGATAATATTGAATACGACAATAAATAGTTTTCTAACATAATTCGAATCAGAATTATAAGACGGACACGTTCTATCACCGTTGTCATCTCTTCACAAACACGTGATAACGCATCTAAGGGACTTTTATACTTCAATCTAAACTCTAACGTCCCAAAAGCAATCTCAAAGCTTTTAATCGGGGCGCTGTCAAAACACACGTCCCCAGGGCCCAGTCCTGCATCGTGTTATTTTGATAAGAGTTAGTTTAACTAAGACATGAGCCGACCACCCCCAAACAACGAATATTAAATCGCAACTACAAAGGGGAGGATGTGGTGTGGTGTGAAGAAAGCCACGGAGACAGAGAACATAGTAAATGTACAGGAAAAACGAGAGGATGAAGACAGTAAGTGGTTTTATTCCTTTTGTTATTTTCATAATATTAATTTATTTTCATTTTTGATAATTGATTCTCAATGTGTGTTGATAAATTACCAAGTCTTTGATTTTCATTACATTCTCCATGTTGTAGTGGTACATGCATTCTTGTAATTCTCAATCCTGATACTTTCTCTGAATTTTTTTTAGTCAGATATGCTGTTCCCTTTACCCAGTTATGTTTAATACGTTATTACACATTATATTTTGATATCATTTCGTTTTATCTTCACAGAGACCGTTAAGAAGGACACCGCACTGGAAAAAAGGAAAGGGCGATAGCAGCACTGAACAAGGGGAAGGTGTTGAAAGGGGCAACGGCAGAAATATCTGACGCGGGGGTCTGCCAGGCTAAAGAAGTGCTGAAATTGATGTGTGGAAAATAATTTACACGCAAGGACGATTTGAGTCCACAGTTGTAGATTAGATAATATCACGGTATTCTACATGAAAAATGTTAATATATCTCCTTTACGGTGATTGATTTTTACTTACTGTTTTTATATATATTGTTATTACAATGAGATCAGTACTTCTTATATTTGAACATATATTTGTATATTATTTTGCTGTGATCCCAAGTAAACTGATATGTTTTAATTCAGGCCCAATCTTGAAAGTCCAATTGGGGAGGGTAATGACCACAGTACGCGGGAAGCTATATCATCAATACACAAATCACAGTGTATTATTATCTCACTGATAGTAGGCATTTTAAAAATATCCTGAAAATCACGTATCACCGGGTATAATGTCTTCGTTTCACGAAGGGCGGAGAATAAACAATTGCATTCACAAGTCGCGTGAATGGGGTGCTTCACGAATCACGCTAAATAAGATGAACGTTTCACACACCTCAAGAAATAAATAGCTGTATTTTCTATAAATTTATTATGAAAGTACATTTTTCTCTTAGAATTTGAGCAGCATTTATTTGATTTTAATTAAATACTTTAAGTTAGTCGGATATTTCAGGTACATGTTGTGTTGCGTTTCTCTTGTTTTTAATTTTCCCATATTTTTAATGTTATTTTATTTCTTTAGCCTACGCATTTTGTAGAGGTTTTGGTGACAATATTTCATCTTTCCCTGGAAGCTAGGCTTCATCGCCTTACTTAATGTGAACAAAAATACCTAATGAGTGTAATTTTTAAAACGGGGTTGGGCAATTAGGGCACACATAATTGGCATGTTATTTAACGAGCGGCCACTCTCTGCAAATACATTAAGTCGATGGATAAGCAGTAGTCGTTTTCGTTTTCATCATATGTTTACCAGATGTCAGATAAATAATGGAAAAAGCCTGACTACTTATGAATCTGTGACATTCCTATAATTGTACTTTTGGTTAGATTTTGTTCTGGAAAGTCGTATTTAAATGTGGTTCGTATTTATTTGCGTAGTTATTTTACTAGGTAAATTTTTAATGGTATTCGCTATTGTTTAGGGTGTGCGTATAATGAGTGTACAAAATAATACATTAATAAGTGTAAGATTACTTTCCACTTGTGAAATATAGTAGCTGTATTGCGCTTTATAAACATAATTCCCACTGCATTGTAATGGTTATTGTTTTTTTTTTTTTTTGCAATAAATTACTATAATTCATTAAATCTCATTAAATGAAATGCTACATGAATTTGAAACATTATCAGTGCTATAAGTAATTGAAATAACTAAAAACTATTTGATTAGAAAAGGGTAGTAAAGACTTACCTAAAATCGCCTTTATTTGATCGGAAAAGGGTTATAATGACGTACCTCATATCGCATTTACTTCATCGGAAAAGGGTTATAAAGACGTGTAAAAAATCGCCTATACTTGATCGGAAAGACGTAGTAATAGTGCAACTACAATTTTAAGCTTGGGCATAAAAGGGTAGTAAACCCGTAGACCCTGACCTTTCCGGTAGAGCTTTACACCGTTGAAAAGGCTTGTAAAGAGAATATTCAGACCCATTTCCTGAAGAGTAAAAGAGCTGAAAATTGACTTTTTGTGCTGTGTACATTACGTAACAAAGCATTCCGGTTATTTAGTTCTAACATTAAGGCTGCATTACGTTATGTTTCTTAGTGATTAAGTGATGATAAATTAAACATGAACTAATTTAAAACTATTTTAATTGTAATGCTACGGGTTTGCATCATATTCAATACTAAGTAATTTTTTCCTCAAAAAATGTTCATGTTTCTGATCGCCAAATATATTGTGATTCTATGCTAGTTTCACATTTCAGATATTATATTCGGATCACGAGTGAATTTAAGTTATAAATGCTTATCTATCAGTATGGTGCATTTTTCAAGTTTTTTAATAATCAGTGAGAAGCAAATGAAAGTGATTCAAAACAAGAAACTGTTTTATATTGAAAATTGTCAACATTTGTTACAATGTTATACTTGCAAAATTAAATGTAAGGACAAAATCAGTGATGATGCTATTTTCAAAGTGAGTAGACTGTTAAACAGCTGGACGTTGTGCAGTCGTGACGGCCACTATGCTTATTTTTTGGGTGAGACGACGAATTATATTATCATGCATGGCCCCATGAAAGTGAAACGTCGATATCAACTTATTCATGTCGGACGCTAATAAAATATAGTTTGGAATCTGCACATTAAACATTTTTAAGATGTTCAACAATTTAGGCTTATCATGCCAGGAAAATGTTCAATCTTTGGGAATGATTATACAGATTATTGCATGAGCATTAAATTTGTTAGAATCATTTTTAAAGCGCTTCTTATTACTTAATATGAATGATACTAGACATCATAACTAAATACGAAAAGTTATCCTGTAAGCACGAATTTCAATTTACTTATACGTTGTGGTCAAAGTTTAAGAGAAAATGGAATTTGGGTGGTATATTATGTGCATAAGATGTTAGAAATCATCAAAATTTGATAAAGACTTACCTAGTCAAAAATAGGCTTTCCATACAAAATTATTCGATAGTTATGAAATGTACTACAATTTCAAATTTAGCACACAAGAAAGGTATTCAGTTTTTGGAAATGATCAAAAAGGAAGGGAGAATATTAAAAAGGTGTGCCTGCAAAATTAATAGTGTTTTTAACAGGAGCCTAACTTATGTATCTCACCCACACCCAATATAGAAGTGCAATTTACAGGATTATTATCCAAAATTAAAATGGAATGGATTTAGAGTGACATTAGTTTTTAATTTTTTTTTATTTTTTTTTATCACTTAAACATTGTTGCCCAAATTTAAGAGAAAGCGAAATTTGGATGGTATATTATGTGCATGAAGTGTTAGAAAGCATCAAATTGGGATAAAGGCCTGGCAAGTCAAAAATACGCTTTCCATACCAGTATTGGTCAGTTACGATTTTTTATCATTCATGGTCCCAAGAGAGTGAAACGTTGATACAAACTTATTCATGTCGGACGCTATAATAATCAAATATATTTTGCAATATGTACATGAAACATTTTAAGAGCATACCTGCAATCTTCTTTGCACCTCTACATTGAGTTTGGGTGATCAATGAAATTAAGGCACACATATATTGTACGTATTAAATTAATATTTACCTGAAAATCCTTGTGGCTTCTGTGCACCTGATTTCACCATCCCTGACAAAAAAGTGCTGTATGATGTACCACACAAACACTACCAGTCTTTGTTTGGCCCCGTAAAGAGCCATCTTTCTAGCGCCAGATTTGTCCGCCACGCCGCTTCCATTTATTCTGTTAATCGCGTTTTCCTCATCTCTGCTATTGATCACAGCTCACTTTCAGCCTACCTCCTCTTTTTCTTGGAATTCAAAGAGTTTTCTAAATACTTCATGGCTACCTCTGGCCAATCACAAGGAATGTCTTCTTCATCATGGACTTACGAAACATTGCAGCCTGAAAATATATAAATGATTACATTAAAATTATTACATTTAGCCAATTTTCATAAAACTTGAAAGAAAGGGAACTTATAGATCTTTAGACTTTACAAAGCTAAGGTATCTGTTAGAATGTGGCAATGGTGTACGTGTTTGTGTGTGGGGGGGGGGGTATGGGCGTGACTGTTTGTTTTACTTCTGAAATTATATGATTAAATTAATAATGAAAATATGTTATCCTGTCCTTTTCCAATAATCACCCATTTTAAACTTTAAGCCAGCAGAGTGCAGGACCTGTAGGATAGTGTGCTTCCTTTACTCCACTAGACTTGCCCCGTGAATTAACGTTTTACTAGATAAGAATATATCAATGAGCTTTCATTTTTCTTAAATATATATTCTCATAAGTCAACTTCTAACAGAGACCGTGCTAGCATAATTCCTAGCCTTGCAAAATGACTTATTTCCACCAAATAGAGTACATACAAAAGGGCAAAGCATTCACAAGTACCCTACTAGAGGATCAGAGACGTGATACTGCCTTCGGTTATTGTACCGCGAGCTGGAGTAAGTGAATTTGTATGGAAAGTAAAACAAAACAAAGCAGCAAAGTCTCCACCCAATGCCGTTTGACCCCTAAATTTTCATTCTATAATGATTTAGTTTTTTGATTATTGATTATACTGATTGGTTAATGATCCGGATCACCACCAAAAACTAATCATCTGTTCCTTGGCCCACTTCTGACAGTTCCTGAAAATTTCATCAAAATCTGTCCATAACTTTTTCTGTAATATTGCTAACAGACAGACAGACAGACAAACTAAAACTAACGGAACCAAATATATAACCTTCTTGGCAGAGGTAAAATATGAAATTTCACAAAAAATTGTACAAATTCAATAAAATGATAATACAATAGAGGTGGTTTTCTAATTTGAGCTGTATGTCAATCCTAGAGAATCATTCTTGCAAAATAAAATAATAATAATAAGCAACAGTTTTCTTTTCATTACATTTGTGACAGTGCACAAAGTAGATTTTTTGTCAATTTTGATGCAATATTACATGTTGATTAACTGTATAATTACTACCAATTATCTACTATTAATAACATTTAAACAAGGCAGCAAAGCTGTCAAATGTACAGACAAAAAGTAGAAAATAACAATGCACAACATATATGCTACTGTCAATGCTGATGCAAAGGTACATTATGCTTAACTGCAAATTCAACATTAAATTTTAATTAAGCTCAACAGCTATTACCGATGTAAGTAAAATGTGTAACAACCATTAGGCTTCAGGACCATGAGAGTTCAAGTGCACACTTTGAAAATGCCAGAATGAGAAAAATGAAAATTTATGAAATTGCATTAATGCTATAATAAATGATAAATCAATTCAGCTGGCTTTCTAATTTGAGCTGCATGTCAAGCCTAAAATTATTCTTGTAAGTTTAAAATAATAAGTAACAGTTTTCTTTTCATAATGATTGCAGTAGCAGTGCACAGAGAAAATTTGTGTCAATTTTGATGTAAAATTACATAATAAATTAGAGAAAAATTATGAGCAATTTTAATTATTGACTTTAAATAACATGGACATGTAGAAAATTTGACTCCCATTCAGCTTTATGCCAATGGGAGTTCTGAGTTCCACAATGAATATGCCAATACAATAAAAAAGAATGTTTCACTAAAATGTATACGTTGCAGTGAAAGAAGTCAATTAGACTGCTTTTCCAACTCAGGCTGCATTTTAGTCCTGTGTTTCTTTTTTGTAAGTTTGACAATCATAAGTAACATTGTTTTTTATAAGGGACATGATGGCAGCAGCACCCAAAATTGGGTTTTCTTCAATTTAGATACAATATTACATAATGCTTAACAGCATAATGACTATCAATTTATAATAGTAAAATATTAGTGGCATATGGATATTGAGCAAATGTGACTGGCAAAGGTCTTCCAGCCCATGGAGGTTCAAAGGCACATCTTGAAAGTGACAGCATGTAAAAAATTCTATGTTCATTAAAAAACTTACAGGAAAATTAACTAAACAGACTGCTTTTCCAAATGAAACTGCATTTAAAGCCCATGTTTCTTTCCTGTAAATTTGAGAAGAGTGAGTGACATGGTTATTCTTTAATGGGCACTATGGCGGCAGTGATTAGAATAGATCGAGTTTTCTTCAATTTTGATGCAGTATTGCATAATGCTAACAGCATAATGACTATCAATTTTTAATGATAAAATAGAAGTTTTATGAATATTCAGAAAATGTGATTAGCAAAGGTCTTAGGGATTAAGGAACTTCAAAGTCACACCTTGAAATTGCCAAAATGTAAACAAGACAGAACTGTAGTGAAATGGGTTTATTTCTATTTTAACACTTTTTTTTACATAAAACAACTAATTTACTGTACTTTTTTAATGATCAACTGAGAAAATTGCTGAGATGTAGAAAATATCAATAGAACAATGTTAAATGTTCAGTTTGCTCCATTCTTAGATTCTGAACATAGTAAATGATTGAATCTGGCAAACTGCAATGATTTGCTTTTTTTCCATTTTTGACACTTAATAACACAATAGATTAATACAGGTTTAACACCATTTTTATGTAATCAACTAACAATAGTGTAAAGATGAAAAATTTGTCAAAAGAACAGTTATACATATCTAATTAGTTCAATATTGAGACTGTAAACATGCCTAAGAATTGAATCTAAGGTAAAAGCACTTATAAACAAAACAAGGCATAACTGCATCAAAACTGAACCAATCAAGCTTATTTTCGAACTCAACCTTTATTTTAGTAAGATTAAGCACTCCTGTGAGTTTCATGTTAATAAGCCTTTTGGTTTTTCTTGAAATGTATTTACAGTGTTGCATATATGATGAAAAGTGAGAAAACAGCATAACTTCTAAAATAATGGCCTGATCATGCTGATTTTTATACTTGACCTGCGTTTTAGTAAGATTGATTAACCTGTGAGTTTTATGACAATAGGTATATCGGTTTGTCTTGAAATGTGTTTACAGTGTTGAATATATGCTGAAAAGTGAAAAAACAGCATAACTGCTAAAATAATGGCCCGATCATGCTGATTTTCAAACTTGGGTCTGTAAATATAAAGCCAAAAAGTAAAACTGTCTTCCACTTATCTTGTTTACGCTGAAAGTGCATGGTGACGGCGATGGCAGTGACGTCAGTGACGACAGACACAGGTGATGGCAATATGTACAGACACAGAGTTGTAAGTCCCACAATGAAAATGCCAATATGTGAAATATAAAAAATTCACAAAAATGTACAACAGAAAAAGAAGCCAATTTAACTGGTTTTCCAACTCCAGCTGTATTTTAGTCCTATGTTTCTTTCCTGTATGTTTAAGACATGTTAAGTGACATGTTTTTTTAATGGTTACTATGGAGGCGGTGCCCAAACTCATTCATTCACTTTTGATTCAATATTACATAATGCTAAACAGCATACTAACAATTAACTTTTAAGAATAGAATATAAATATATCAAGGATTTTCAGAAAATGTGATTTGCAAAGGTATTCAAGTTCAGTCACACCTTGAAAATGCCAATATGTGAAAGATAAAAAATGCTTGTGCTACCGCCAAGTGGAAATGAAAATAACACTCAACAAGTCACCCATTCTTATGTCTTCCCGTAATACAACAGCAATTGTTGTTGTCACAATGTTCAATGTCTTTCCATAAGACAACAACAATTGTTGATGTCACAATGTTCAACACCTTCCCGTGACAGCAACAGCAACTGTTGATGTTACAATGTTCAATGTCTTCCCATAATACAACAACAATTGTTGATGTCACAATGTTCAATGTCTTCCCATAATACAACAGCAATTATTGATGTTATAGTGTTCAATGTCTTCCCATAATACAACAACAATTGTTGATGTCACAGTGTTCAATGTCTTCCCATAATACAACAGCAATTGTTGATGTCACAATGTTCAATGTCTTCCCATAATACAACAGCAATTGTTGATGTCACAATGCCCAATGTATTCCCATAATGCAGCTGAAATTGTTGATGTCACAATGCCCAATGTATTCCCATAATAAAACAGCAATTGTTGACAGCACAATGTTCAATGTCTTCCCATAATACAACAGCAATTGTTGATGTCACAATGTTAAATATAATTCCATAATACAACAGCAATTGTAGTGACATCAACAATTGCTGTTGTATTATGGAAA